TCAGTTTCTTGTAATTTGAAAAAAAATGAAAATACTTCAGTTTCTTGTAATTTGAAAAAAATGAAAATATTTCAGTTTCTTCTAAAATTGCAAATATTTTATTGTGTTATTCAGCTATTCTCATGCCGCGCCTACCGATTGAATTCTCTGACTCTGTGTCACTGAGCAGGAGACGCTGACGTCATACGACTGCGAGGCTCGACGCCCACCATTAAATAATTGCCACACACGTGTTGCATTATAGATTAACATTATTACATTCTTGATGTGCAAAGTTAATGTTGTTGGGTATATCCGAATATACTGGTGTGTATTCGGTATTATTGGTGTATTCCTCCATATGGTTTTGTACAATATATTATAGTGTGTATAATGTAATACACCGAGCGAAGTGTCTTATGACGTAGCGCGCTGACGTCGCATTGTGGAGGCCCAGGTTCCATCCTCGTGCCGGTCATCCTGACCGGGGTTTTCGTGGTGTCCCTAGTCATCCAGTCGAATGATGGGATGGTTCTTCTGAAAGGCCACGACCGCGAAACCGGCATCATTAGCCGAATTCGTTAACTACGCGAAGTCATGAAGGCTAAGTGAATTCGAGACATCGTGGGTTCCTGGATGGGTGACCGCCTAGGAACCTCGGTATCTAACGGCGTCGAGGCCAATTGCTCTTTACGGGACATTTAATGGCAAAATACACATACAATTAACGTAATACGGTTTGTAAGAGTATTTTATCGGTTATTCTTGAGCAGTGTGTGGGCTATATTTTTGAAAAACCATTTCGTGTGGGTTTGTTCAGAGACATTTTTGTTGCCACAGGTCTCTACTGTTACTATTTCTATTTATTTTCTTCTTAACTTCAACTTCAAAATTCTTAATTGCTTTTTTTCCCCTCGGACTTTCTTCCTGTCAACAGTCTTATCTTTTACGTTCCGTTGGAGGCATATTTTGCAATCCCTAATGCAATAGGGTCCCGATTCCAAAACCAGTCATTTCGAAGGAGAGTCTTCGGAAATTCTCTCTGGCGCATATAAAAACAGGAATCGAATGTAAATTGAATTTCTATTACTAGGTTATTTATGAAAATAAAGAAACGGTATTTTTGCATATCACATAATGAAAAATGTGGAATTTAACAATAGGTATATCTCAACTTTCAATTTTTCAGAGATGTGGCACTCTTGCGTTAGGGATGCAATTTGACCATACACTGGACACCAACAAACTTGCTGGCTTCTCTGATACGGGGTCAGCAGAACGCGAGGCCCTCCGCAACAACACACACATGAGAGACGAGGGACAAACAACCAGCCCCAAGGCGGGATTCGAACCCGCGACCCTTCGGTCCGACAGGCTTGAGTCGGTACACGCTCTTAGCTACTTCGGCCATCTAGGTCGGCTAGCTTTGTTTTTGCTAGTTCGATTTATACGACTGCGTACGTAGTTCAGTAGGCGGGGCTCGACGCAGAAAAATCCACCCGCGCTCCACGTCAGCTGGCCTTGGTCGACAAGGCGGGGCTGGGCGGATAGGCTTGGGGCAGTGGTTGTTGTCTAGGAGGCCTAGAACAGGGCTGACCAAGCCAAGCCCCCACATTCCGTGAACGGACAGTTCAAAACAGAGGATACATTGAAAGGGGCCATGGTCGCCGTTGTAACGAATGATTTGCGTGCGAGTTTCATATCTGACTGAAATTGTGCTCGTTTCTATCATTATCTTTATTTTGAGTGAGTGAAACTGAAATTTTAAAAAAATATAAAATAAAAAACCAAAACATTAACTGTGTATGGCTGATATATATAGATACGATTTCTATGCCACCTGCAATTTTTCTTTAACTATTCAGATCTGCAAGTTTTCACACAAAAAAACTTCACAAGCAATTACTGATTAAGGAACAACAAAGATGTTCCCCTCGTAATATTTCATTCTGAAGAATCAATCCATGCAAACTTCTACACTGAATTTGAGCTTGGAACAATGAATTTGTTCACGCACTTAATGTACACCGAAGAAGTCTTACCAATTTAGAACACGTACTATGATTTCGAACTACACGCACCGAAAAGAACATACCGTTGTTCTAAACAACTAATTTGTTCATATTACAGTCGCAACTATGTCTATGAGGTACGAACGTTTGCACTACAATGGCGGCCTTCAAATTATTCCGCGACAGCAACTCTCTCAATGCGTCTAGTTCATTTCTATCCCAGCGCAGTTGGACGAAGCCATGAAGGCTGGAGCTCAGGAGGTCACACCTTCAAGGAAATGAACGTAATGCGGAGTTATGATATCTGTTACAGAGTATTGTGTAAGAATCATACATATATCCCATATTAAATGTTAATATTTTACGAGTCATCTCTACCAGGCATGCTCTCGTTAAGGTGTGATTCAGTAATTACTAACACTCATTCATTTTGTGCGATTAAGATATCGAAATTAAACCGAAAAGGTATGCACTAGGTAAAGCACATGATTAAATATGCAATTGGCTTTCAACTGCTTTACCGCAGGTGTATTTTTGGGTCTGGTTGAATTGTTTTCAAATAGATGGATAGAATTCTTTGGTTAAATGAGACCGTAGTTTGAATCATTTAAAAATTCGGTGTTAGCTGCTTAAAGTGCGTTATATCCAACATTGCTTTTTAAAAAAGGTTTTTCAAAATTTACTATTATACATATTGTTGGTTATTAAAACTATCGAAGTAAAATGCTGATTCTTGTACTGTAGAGTAGGCATCACACAGCCTACCAGATCAATATACTATTTTCAGGATATCAGCATAATTCAGCATTTTTACTACAACGTTTGTGTGTTTTTATTGACTCCCGAAATTCACCAACAAATAGCTCGGAGAAATTGTTTTCTAGAACTGAGCACATTATATCCACAATCCAATTAAAGTTTTTTTTTACATAACTCAGTGCTTTATATCTGGCGGAACGCAACGGAACGGTGTTCCAGAACCTCGGGAACAATTATTAAATTATAAATATATAACTATTTCCATTAGATTAAACCTAAAATTTTATAAATCAAGCACTGCACATACCCGACATCAATCTCATGTGTGCCTTTTTAGACATAATACTCTTTACGCAGCAACAACTATACATGTGTCACTTTATTTGATTGAAGAAAAACAACCATAAGCGTTCGCAGCCTCAAAAAGGAGGAAGGGATTACATTTCTGGAACCCTACGTGCTTTTAACTTTTTTACTCGCTATTAGTAAATAAATAAAACTTACTACGAGAAGAATTAAACAAACCTTAATATGGTAGAACATTAAATATACAATTAATAAATACAGTAGATTTTAAGTGCCGTTTGGCTTAGAAAGCTTCTTGTTTGAATGTTTTGTTAATTCCCCAAATTGTCAGATTAAAAAAGGGAAATTATGGAATTTATCATAATTACAGAAACAAAGTATTGTTAAGAAATGTGTTTTGAAATGATTAGGGGAGCCACGGTCCCCCCCTATTTGTTCGCCTATGAACCCAAGCATTATATAAGATAATGTGGTCAAGTTACGCGCCTCAAATTCACCTGGTTATAGATTTCTACATTTGGCCAAACTAACAGCTTCATGATGATATTTACGACTTTTACTTCAAGTTGAAATAGGTATATCAGGAAATAAGTGATTCAAGAGTATTTTGATTTGTTTTTAAAAAACACTGCTTTGTGAAGGTAACATGCAGGTTTTATGACAATTGCCAGATGAACTGGTTTCTTAAAGCATGACCATGTAATTAGTGATAGCTGTACTAATATGTAATATGAATTATCCTCTTATAGTCTAATTTTACAAAAATACGGCCTGACAAGTCTTCAGCAACGCAACGATTACTGAGCTACTCATAACAAACTCAGCATTTTCTACAATGAGACTTTATTATATAAAGTAGAAAGCATCAGTAATAGCTTGAAAACTTACGAAAATAAAAATAAATATTTTAATCAATTTGACCTTGAGGACAAATAAACCTTTGTCCTTAATAGTTCGTTCTACACTCTTGGCCGTATTGACAGCAAAAACCTGAGAATTTGAAAAAAAAATGGTCGATTTTCCGAACATATTTTCAAAATCACCTCGATTTTTAATTAAAATACATGAACAGAGCAATTCTCTTTATTTGCAGGAAAGTCTTGAAATCACATTTTCAGAAATCGGCTATGCGTTCCACATTTTTAAAGTAGACTAGTGCAATTATTAATTAAACACACAATTCTAATTCAAGTATCATTTTTGAATTTCTAGAAATTGTCTTGGTAAATAAATGAGCTCTTTCACTTCTAAACATTACTGTACTAACCGTATGGTGCTTTAGTGTCACCTACATAATTAATACAATTATGATCGTGATAAACTATTTTTTAATTTATCTCCAGAAAACGTTTTTTAAACTCCATTTAATGTTGAGGATAAAAAATGATCTAAACTGTAGTCCACGAAAGAATGCAAATCATTCGTAAAACGTGGGGAATCTGAACGAAAATTTCAAAGCACTTAAATTGGATATTATTGTTGCAAAAGATTGAAAAAGTAAAGCATATACCAAATAGTAAAAAAATGAATATATCTCTATAACGACACACAGAATGATAGTGCAGATTCCAATCGATTCGTCTTTCGCTAATTTTCAGTCGAACCATATTTGTTCGCTTTACTTTTTTTCTCGTTTAGATTGAATTAATCGAACTGTTGTCTGATAGTCACATGATTGGTGGTAGTGGTATTAAGAGGTGAGTCCATAACGTTTCGCTTCCCGGAGAACGAATCGGTTCTTTTAACTCGAAGTAGGACGGCCGAGACTTTGTGATTTCTGTGGAGGTATGGGCTATGTAGTTTGATAGGTTAGTGTTTTCGGACGCGTCAACCGTTTAAGTCGTTAGCCCCGTAAAATAAATTCAAGCGAGAAAACCCATTTTGGAGGAAAGTCGTAATGATTTACGAGTAAATATGCAGACTTGCGGATAGGTGATTAGAGAGATGTTTACGAAAGAAAAACAGAAGGCTCCAAAAAACACATCCAAACAAAATCCTGATCGAAATTTGGTTCCACGTTTTCTCGAACTAAAGGAGGAATGCCAAAAAACGCAGCCACAACCAGTCCAATGTAATGAGAAGTAATTGTTTTATATAACAATAGAACCATAAAACTAACCTTCCGAGAAAAACACGAAATAAAAGCCAAGTTAATTACCTTTGAACGTTGACTCACGAATGAAGGTAATAGAATTTCTTCCCACAATAAGAATGCAGTTTTCTTTGTATTAATTACCTTCTCGTTTTTCTTGTGAATTCTTTCAATGTCACTGTCAATGTTATAAAGGAATGGAGGTCATTTCGAAAGTCTTAAGTCGCTAAATGTCATATCACCCTCAAAGAGTTTAATTATTTTCTAGAAACAAGAAAATGAATTTCATCTTCGAAAATCTCTAAGTCTTTAGTGTGTTAAAGTGTAAATATTTTCAAGTGCGAGTTTTGTTTTAAAATAAAAACTAATTAATAATAATTGCTGATATTCCGATATTCTTACTGATAATTTTAAAATCGATTCCTTCTGTACAGTGAATAAAGGTGATATAGCAATACGAACATTGTGGTAATATGATTCACAAACAATTTAAAGAAATAAAATGGATTACTGGCTTATTTTTCTGAAATCTGACCAATATCCGTTACTGTGTGAAATATTATCTAGTAGTCTCAACCGTTGGATCATTTCAATTTAAAAGAAATTAGGTTGTGGCCTGCAGCAAAGAAGATGCTGATGGACTAGAGGAAACAAAACGGTTTTCCAAAACGTAGCACGCATACTGCACTAGATTAACAACTGTATTGCTCTCGTATACCACTGTAACAAACCAGCTGTGGTGGTTCAGGGCATCAATTGATGTCGCTCCAATGCATCTGAATTCGAGTTTCGTCAGAGCTAGGATTTTCGATACTAGCTAGAGCGCTAGGCCGAATTCAGCCCAGCCGCTGTTTGAAGAAGAATTCTAGGGGTTGGCTACTCTGATCGGTAGTTTTCCATTGTTTCCGACCAACACCAAGCGAATGCCCGAGCAGTAACTTCCAAACGAACCGAGGACTTTTTCTTGCCCAAACCAAGTCCCCGCAGAAGGAAGGAAGACGGTCGCTAGACTTCAGGCATGATGGAGTTGGAAGTCCGGTCTGAGTTTCTCGGCTGCTCTTGCCGCTCGTTTAGCTTCAAGGTGAATGGCAGTGAGAATGGTGCGCTAACCACCTTTGGGAGTAGTGTGTGAATTAACCGTGCCTAAGTGGCAGTTCAAACCCACAGAAAGTTCGACACTAGGTTTCGGCGGTACCCAGTCGATACGTGTCGTCACGTGAGGCGGAGAGGAGAATTGAATTGGTTGAATCGAACTGATGATTTTTTACGTGGGCGAGACTCAGGCATTAGGCCTGCTTTCGTTGGATAGCACGCAAATTTCGCTACCAACTAGCAGAGGGAAGAGGTATATCTTGGGCGAGAAACAGGCGATTTTGAATTTAGCTCAGATGGCGTCATTTAGGCTTGGAGGATTTTTACATGCAAGTAAATCTACGAACACGGGACAGCCGGCTTTACTTCCCCTCCGAAGGAAGGCATGTGAAGGATTTTTTCGCCCTTAAAAATCCACGGCTTCGATCGGGGGTTTGAACCCGCCAACTTGGGTTGGGGGCGCTGAGCTCCTCTGGCCTTGGGGGCCAGGTGGCCCCCCAGTTGGGCTTTTGGCTTCGACGTGGCAGTGGCCCGATTCACTGGGCAAAGATGTGGGGGTTGTATACGTAAGCTTCCGCCGCTCGAATCCATGAATTCTCGGCTTATCCGGGAGACGCCGCGTCGTTGGCTGGGGTGCCGACGTTTCGCCTGACATGTCGCAGGCTTCCTCAGGGCAGTGAGTCCGGCGTCTCCCGGATAGCCGAGAATTCAAATATGAGGGGGTTGTCCCGGCGCATTGTCAGTGGTGTTTATAATTCGACACTGGCGCTGTCCTGGAAAGCTAGTGGCTCTGAGCTGGCAGGATGGACCTACCCAGGCTTCATTGGGGAGGTTCCCGTGAAGGGTAACTGTGTTCCGGTGCGATACGCCTGTGTTATTGCATTGGAAAGGGGTGCTGATAAGGGCTAACACTTAAGTGCTTACCTCTGAGAGTAATCCCACTAGAAGAAAAAGGAAAGGGAGGTCAATCAACTCTCCAAGGAGAAAATAATATTGATACATCCAGGAATCGCCAGAAACAAGAATTGCTGGCGAAGGCTTTTATCGTATTACCCCTTGGTCTATTCTGAGATCTGTACTAACAAAGGTGCCATGAGATTTGATATCTAAAATATCCCAATGTTTGCATTCAGAACAAAAACAAAATGCAGAAATTTGTGATTTTAATAATATAATTAAATAATATGTTTTTGTTTTCTGTAAAAAAGGATTTTATCACTAAAATATTAACTATATTTTCACAGAACCCTCATAGTTTATTTTTACACTTTACATGCAACTTTCGCCCCATTTTATAATGACATGTATTTTTAGACTAGTCATAAACATTTACTAGTCATATGTGTGAAAAAAGTAAAATATAGTTAAAAACAAAACAAATTGATAACGCTATGTTAACAAAGGGCATGTCATCGATCCTGTTAATGTTTCAAAAAACCGCCGCTCCATGGAAAAATTATTTTGTTTATTTTTTTCCAAAAGCAAGTGTGCTTGGTTATGGAATAAGACAATATGTCTAACCACGAAAATAATAACAAAAGAAAACTCAAGAAAACGCGCTGAATATACTTCACCATATAATTAACTTTTAATGATTTGTACTTTTGATGATAATGATTGATCGATGAAATAAATCAAAGAAATGGAAGTAGATCAAATTCCTAGTTGTCATTAGGCTATAGCACGATGCCGGCGACCCACTATAAGAGGTCACGGTGGCGACATCTACCTTGTCGTGACGCAGCGACCCTGGTGGCGGTGAGTAAAGACGCACACCTGTCCGCGTCCCCGTCGCCAGCACCTGGATCAAGCGAGCGGCCGCAAAAAGCCCACGGGGACGAGGAGGCAAAGCACGTATACACGTGGTAGCTTTTTGCCTCCGACCGCAGCGCCGAAGTGGGAGAGTTGATGTCAGGAGAGTCTCAGCCAGTGCTCGTAATAATACTCTCTCCCTCGCCGCCCCTCTCCCCCTCCGCCTCTATCCACCTACCTGCCCATCTGTCAGCCCCTCTCTCCCTCGCCGCCCCTCTTCCCATTCTCTCCCTCCCCGCCCCTCTCCTCCATTTGCTCCCTCACCGCCCCTCGCCACCATTCTCTCCCTCCCCGTCCCTCCCGCCTCCTCTCTCCCTACACGTCCCTCTCCCTCCTCACCCCACTCGCTCCCATTCTCTCCCTCCCTGCACTTCTCTCAATCTCTCCCACTACGCCCCTCTCAAACTATCCTTTCCCGCTCTCTCTTTCTCTGTCCCGTCTCTCCCTCTTCATTCTCTCTCACTTCTTGCTGTTCTCCCTCTCATCCTACCTGCAAAGTGAGTGGTGAAAAGTAGCATTTTATTTTGCGAGTAGGATAAGCCTTCACATGAGGCCGAGTAGCGCAATCCAACCAGCAAAATAAAATGACTTTCATCACGTCTTCTACACCCTGTTTTTCTGATAGTATTCATTTTATTTTAATTCTAGTTCACAAATCATTGTTGTATTGTGTTACATTAAGATCAGTAGAAGCAGATGAGGTCAGAATAATGTATTTTTTGTTGCAGTCTCACTTTTGACTGAACATTTGCTCAACACTTTCTGATTCACACATTTGACACAATTTTTGATTCACATCAATAAATGTTACAGAATAAAGACTGTCGATAAATCCTCGAGATTAAAACAAAATAGTCTATAAAATCAACATGAAAAATTTATGTTGCCAGTTTTTACTTATACTTGAGAAAATATGAAAGACTTTACAATAGAAATTAAAAAAACAAATGAGTCCTTCTAATGATGTGAAATGCTTATCGTATTGTCAGTGTGTGCGTGCGGGTGTGCGGTTTGTCTCGTCAATCATTCGTACACTGAAATGTTTGGAAAGTTCGCTGTGCGTTTTGACACATCGTTTGTCTCGTCCAGTGAAATTCGTCCGTCTTTTAGACCATACACGTCCGTGAATAAAATCATCTTCACAAACTCACCATTTTAACTTTTACAGGAATATCCAAAGAAGATGCAGAAGAGTATTACCATCGTTCCTCTGAATAAGGTAATAATAATAATAATAATAATAATAATAATAATAATAATAATAATAATAATAATAATAATTTATTAATATGGCGAAGCTCGCTTATTACGAGTACGCTTTTTTAAACATAAAATACAAAAACGGAAGGTCGATGGTCGTAAATATGTCAGTATATAAATAAAAGGGAGTGTGTGTGTCAACTAGACGCAAAAACAACTCAACCGCTTTCAATGAAATTTTCACACTTTGTTCTTTTTTGTAATGAGAATGTTTAAAGAGTTATTATAATTATATCGGACATGGAGGGGAGGCGTGAACTCTACACAACCTGCCGGACAGTCAAGGATTAAACACGTCCTGGTTCTATGTCCAAACCAGCACAAATAAACCCATACTTACGAGAGTCTTTCATTTATTTGTACGTTTACGCAACGTAGAGTAAAACGTGAATTACAATCACGTAACCAGTACTGTGATTTAATAGCGAAGCATATCCTGTTCCTGTTTAGTAAAAAATAAAACTAAAAACAAAGAAATGGGAAATAAGGTTATTGGCAATTGGTACGTTTTGAAAAATTCACTAAAAATTCACCTTGGCCGTAATTGTATGGATGGCTATAATGAAAACCTGTATCTTTGCAATCCCTGTGAGCATGTCTTCAGTTTTGTTTTGGGGTTATGTAAATTCTATCAATATGACTGTTAATAACCAAACCATACTAAGTCACTCTTATGCCAAGTCAGTCATTGCCTTTTATTTCTATCGGCCAGGAGCTTAGCGCCGTTAATATCCGAAACTCCCAGACGGTCACCCATCAGGGAACCCGCGGGGACTCGAGCTACTTAATTTTCTTGACATCGCGGAGCTTATTTAAGAAGTGCGGGTACTGGCTCAGACACTTGTGTCTGCCTACTTCTTGTTTTCCCCAACATATGTGGCCAACAAGTTAAATGACAGATTCTAAACTGAAAGAATATAATCATAAATCGGTCAAAACGTAGTCGCAAATCGGCCGAGAGAAAACAGAAAATAGGCGGAGATTATAAAGGCGTAGTGTTAACAATACGAGTAACAATGATTGTGTTTAAGAGTACACCAACTGCTAAGGTCATTAATCTCCGAGTGTAGTGCATGTTTTTACTCGGGAGCGGTTATCGTCCCCCGAAGAAAATAATAAATGGGTCAAACGTAGTCGCAAATTGGCCCTGGGAAAACAAAATAGGCGGAGATTATAAGTATGTAGTGTTAATCATTAAGTTACGTCACCCGGATTGTTAACTGATTGTTAGTGGTTCCGGGTGTGTCAGCTGCTAAGGCCATTAATCTCGGAGTGTAGTGCATGTTTTTACTCGGGAGCGGTTATCGTCCCCCGCTGGGTGGCGGATTCCGTCGCTGACCTGCCGTCCGCTTGCGGCATTTTCCCCAACCAGGTATCTCCCACCAGCGGGGCACCGCCCCAGACGGCACAAGCTCTAAGCTCCCGATCGGTCTCCCGGCACGTATGGCAGTGTAGTGCGTGTTAGTGTAAATGTATGTGAGGGGGTGAGGTACGACAAGGAAGATGAAAGAGTGACCGCGTAAGACCCGTAGCCTGTTTGTTACTGTACTGATCCGGCATTCGCCTGCTGTTGGTAGGAGAAACCACGGATAACTACCAATAAGAGGAGAGTTTGTAGGAATTCTCCTTCAGACAGTTTCTGAAGTCGTTGACACGAGTCCTGTCACCGTCGGACTTGTGTTGTCACAAAATTTGGTTGAGGAAAAAGCTCAAGTGTCTTTTTAAAAGAAAACCCTGGGTGTTTTACATATAGATATTGGAATATCAATTAAATAAAAACGAAATTCTTATCGTTAGTAGTATTAGGCTTTCATCATAATATACATCGTATCGTAAATCGTTTGGTAACTGTTCCCCGTTGATAATCAAAGCTTAACGACATTATTTGATAGTTCTCCAATTTCTTGTTGTAATAAGACGTTCTCCAATGGTTGTTTCGTAAATAATTATTCCACCGCACGTGTGACTAAAAGAGTTATCGCGCTTCGTTGTGTAATGACACGAATTTCCCCTCTGACACATCGTAATTGCAATTACCTTCGCTTCCGCTGACACAATCCAAAGAAGCATTATATACTTTCAAGAGGATTAATTCACTGAACAAAGAGGAAATATGATTCAGATGATATTATTTCTCTGTTTGACGAGTTTGTCAAGAGTCTTGTAACGGAAAATAAACCGCCTCTTGCAAGTAAAGGAAAAAAATGAAGCAAAGGTTAATGTACCAAGGAGAATAACAGAGTAGGTTTTGAAATTTACCCTAAAAAATTGAACTGAAAAACATCTCATGAAAAAGGAAAATCATATGCTAAACATTCATTATCAATTTGTGGAGACTATTTGAAGCAATAATAATTAATGTTCACGTATACTTGCAAAAATATTTAATTGCGATCAAATCAGCATTTTCATTATAAAAAATATTTTATGCATTAAAGTAATGACTAAATTGTCAAGCCAATAATCACATGTACGACAAATTCTCCAAATGTGCATCAATCATTTTAAATAAATATTCGATAAATAACACTGAAGATGTAATTTTTATTGATAGAGGATGAGTAATTTCAGATCAAGATAACACCAGTGCATCATATGAGAAATATATAATTTCTGTTCAGTTTTGATCTCAAAATCAAAGAAGCCTGCAGCCGGTCCGAATGGCCGAGATCGTTAAGGCAGTAGTGCCGTAGCGATCTCTGACGCAAGGACCACGTGTTCGAGTCCCGTCTCGGGCATGGTTGTATTTGTGTTGGTCCTTTCACACTCTACCATCACCATACCATGTCATGTCATCTTCACAGTTAACATACAGTTAAATACGATAGTGGTCGCTAATGACCCAGATGTTGATGCGACCTTAAATAACAAACAAAACAAAAAAAATGCCTGCAGAGTTTTTCTTGTAATTCTCTTATTTTGTCGCAGTTAGTAGTCAATTTCAAACAGTGACTGCACTGAAATTTGTACTGACGGTTGTCTATGTCATACACCTCAATTCCATCAATTCACAAACCTGCGTTTTTAGTCTTTTGTATTCGAAAAAATACATTATTTTCTTCAGCGATATTTGAAATATTCTCAGAACTTCCACTCATTTTAAGCACGACCTATTAAACGTAAGCATGGTTGAAATAAACTGACGCTTCTGCGTTAAAAAATAATCACATTAACATTTGCAAAGAGCGTTTCTACTTTTTATTTTCAATATTCTAGAACGTCAATAACACACACTCAATGAATCATTCAAAACCGTAAAACGGATATATACCTAAAAATGCGATGTCAACTGATTCCATGTCCTTTATCCCAATACAACCCATTCCTTATCCAAGATCCATAATACCTCTAAGAGACGAAGATAATGCGTATGTCAGGACAAGGCTTCCTTTTTTCAAGACCTGTTGGTGCGTAGGTAGCTGAAAGAGTTTTATTGATTTTTATTTGTTATGTATATAAATAGCGACCTTAGATTTCTTGGATAGCAATTTCAAGGGCTTTCTGTTTCCGCTCTGCTCTTTTTAATCCAGTAATTACAAATTATGCACAACAGTCACGAGTAAGCGCAGTGTGGCATAATCTTGGGAGCAAGCCTCTTTTTACAATTTTTTTTCTTTCCGCCGGCTATAAAGTACTCAGTATGCACCGCGTGAACGAATATCTCTCTTAATGGCCAAGGACGAGGACTTGACAGTTGCAAGTTGAGTGATTTGCTGCCTGCGCATTCATTGAGTTGAGAGAATGGATTGCATTGAAGTAAACTGGATTGAAATAAGAGAATTGAAATTAAAAAAAAATTGTAGATCTGAAGCTATACATACGTAAAAGTATTTAACGTGAAATATTAAAAAAAATTATGACGTCGGACCACGTGAAAAGTATCATTTAAAAAATAATCATTCCGAGAAGTGAATTAAAGTGTTATGAAATTTTATTATTAAATTAGAAATATTTTAAAAATAGTTCACGGAAAAAGTAGTAAAGTAAAACACTTGGCTTTGGCCACCCCCAAAAAGAGACTTGCTTAATTTTTGAGATAATACTTTGTTTCCCAACTTGTCAAACATCATAAATCTTACAAGAATGATATAATTCTTCATGCAGCTTGGAATCCATGATTCGCTCTAGAGAATGAACTAGCATTGTAAATGTGTCACTAAAAGTTTCAGTTAAATGAACGCAAATGTTTAGAATATACTACTTTTAAAGAACATTATCTGAAATGATCAAATCCTAATTCTGCTGTTTTCACAGCACTTTTCGTGCTCTAGTCCATCCTCTAGAACATACAGTTGTTTTGATTTTTTTTTGTAAATTTATCACATCAACATGTGGAAATACGATGTCTCAAAGAAAAACCTGCATTTTGGACAGTTAATTATAAACAAACCTTTTTTTTAAATTTTCAGTTCTCTGAAGAGCATATGGAAATCAAATGTACAAGGGCAAAGAAAATAGTATCAAGTATATTGTTTCAATTACCTGAGATAGACAGCTTCCTTAATGAGTAGACTTTCCTGCATTCTATTACTGTACCTTCTTAAACGATGTATCAATTAAGAGATAACTAGCTTAGCCTAGCCTAACCTGGTCTCCGGGGGCGTGTACTTTCATGCGAGGTCTGAGGCTTTCGCGAGTTGTCAGTAACTCGGTCGGAGGCGTGGCGGTCCGGGAAACGGTTGAAGTTTGAAGTAATTTCGTGATGACATGTTATTTGAGCTATAAAAGTTCACCCCAAAAAGCGATTATAGAACTAATAAAGTTGGCTTTCGTCTACACTCAGGAACACGAAAAGATAAAAGTACTTTGTGGAAAAATTCGTGTCAATGCTTATATCAATAAATATCGTCATTAATTTAATTATTAGCCTAGTAATGTTGATAATTTAAGAATTGTCATAGTATTTTACGTTATAAGGGAGGAAATGTTTCATTACGCGAGATATTTCTAGTCAAGGCGACATTAGGGGCAGAGGTTGGAATTTCTAATGAGTAATATAACATTTCCGTCCGTGTGTTGTAACACGTTTTATTTTATACTATGTCACATTTCCTTGTTTTTATTTTAATTTCCTTCAGCATTACTTTACGATGTACGAGTGACAAATTGCACATGGCGCCAGGGCTCCATAGAACCTTGTCGGCGAGCTCTAAACATTTTAAAAACAATTGAAAGATAAAGAGACTCTTCGGAAATAGATAATAGATTAACCAAATGAAGCAATGTAAAAATTAATTCCTCAAAATGGGAAAAAAATAAATATTTTGTTCTTGGAAAAAATACAAATTATGACAAATTAATATTAACAAGGTTAATGAGCATGTTATGGTGGCTTACTTATCACCCTTTGTTCCTTAACATTCCCATCGTATGGTATTGTTGTCTATATTTTTCACGAATGATTTGTAAGTTTCCTTTTCATTATTGTAACCAACTACATCATTAGTATAGAGTAATGTAGAGGCATGCATCAATAAAACAAATCAGAAAGTGGTAAAAATGTCCAAGTTCATAAGTTGGTATGATATTTCATTACGGTACATTGGACCGTAAAGCCCCACTTTCTAACTGTTTTGCGATACGTAAACAACCGAAATGAGATGTAGTATGAAATAAATATAATGAATGTAACTTTAAGGTTTCACGTTGAGCCGAAATGGTAGTATGGTAATCTACGTTCCTGCACTCTAAATGCGTTATCCCATCCCATGTTATCGATCCGTGTGGACGAGAACAATCGAAAAAGGATCTCCGTAGGTGGTTTTAAAACTGCCACAAATGCGTTTTAGATGCTTAACTCCCCTCAACACGTTTTTTCCGAAAATTCATTACAAAGTAGACTTAATAATCGTCAATTTGATTATTCAAGACGTAAAGATCCATATGTAAATGCGGAAAAGACAGTGTAGAAATTCACAGTATTCAGTTTTCTCGACGGCGCATTTATATTAGGATTGGCAACAGTCCACTTTCGTCAATATTGTCCTCTTGTCTTGCTTTGTATTTTAAATAGTATCCTCTTTTTAGTAATTTTTTTCGTGACTAACATCTGCTAGGTTACATCGATTAATGTTTAATTTAGAATATGAGACATAAAAATACTTTTTTTCTGAACTCTTGACACACGCAAGCATGATTGTGTAACTGTCTAGCGACTAAAATAAAAAAGAGACGCTTTGACCATTCAGGCTCCATTTGCCTTTTGAGAACGAATATTTCACTTCATTCGTTGTTTTTTTTCATTTGAATCACAAATTAAGAGATGAAAGAAATAGAGCTGATTTTAGTCTAAATTGAATATTTATAAAAAATGTATTGATGCGTTTTTTTTATTTGGCTTATTTTTTATTATTTGGCTTTTTTTTAATTTGGCTTATTGGTAAAGGGAGTGTTCTCCCTTTTACATGAACATTGTTGGCAACCCTAATTGAGACCTTCAAAGAAACCTTATCGCAATAGGATTCTATCTTCCGAAGCTTGGCTTCCCAACAATTTTTAAATTGATTTGCAATGAAACAAATTCAAGTGTCTAGGAGGGAATCTTTGCATCTTAAAATAGGACACACGGGGGCCGAATTTTTTTTAAAAAAGTTGCTTATCTCGCTTTGTTGGTACTTTTTATTCATCATTCATCTATTGATAGTAAATATCTGAGGAAGATATTCTGAAGATCAAGAAAACTTGCGCAGATCATACTTTTCCACATCATACGCCACATACAGCTTATACTATTATTTTACGAAAATAAATTAAATCCAAATTAAAGACACTGATATCTTCTCCCCAAAGTTCTCACACAGTTTTACTGTTTTATGACTAAATAAATCTAAGTGATACATACAAAATGCATAGAATTGCAAAAGTATATTAAATTATATTGTAGTAATAATAATAACAATAATAATACAATTAAGAAATCAACCAACAAAATTCGCAAAACTAGCAGGACGAAAGTCCCATTTTTTCTGAGGGGAAAAATACTGAAGTGAATGCAATATCTGCAAAAGATACCCAGACCTGTTTTAAAAGATAATAATCTCAAAACGGCCTTAATTGTTGAAAACCCCCGACTTTTAAGTATTATTCAGATTATCATTAACGTAAATTTTTAATGAAGTTATTTTGAATTTTTATTTGTTGCTTAAAAATTACGTATACAATTTTTATTTAATTAAAGAGCAACATTCAGATGTTTTAAGTGTTCCTGCTTTGGACTTCAAGGCAGCCAGCACAAAGAGTATGAGTAGGAGTAGGAGTGAAGGTATGTACGAGAATACGTGTGTGTGTGTGTGTGTGTGTGCACGCGCGCGTGTGTGAGAGATAGAGGAGAGGAGAGAGAGATAGAAAGAGAGATAGAGATAGAGAGAGATAGAAAGAGAGAAGAAATAGAAAAGAGAGAGGGAGTTAATACTTGTATTAGACGACCTCGCTACCAGCATCTGAGACCCAGCAATGCAGTTAAGGGAGATATGAAGTCATTCGCCGCCCTCGCGTGCTGTCGGGAAACGCCGTGCTGCGCGGCGATATCTGGTCCATGCATCTTCATGTTCAACGACATTCCGCCAGGATAAGATTCGGCTCACTTCACTACAGGTATAACGAGTTGGCGATTTGCCCACTAGGGGTGTAGCACGGTGGATAATGTGACGCGATAGACGGATTTTCACGTGGTCCATGTGGAAGCTGCACGATATAACTAAACTAGTTGAAGTTCATGGGTACGCTCATCCTATAAGACTCAGTATTTTAGAGTTCAAAAAAATTGTACAAATAATAAGGAAATGCCCACCACATGATTCCTGCAAGCCTCTCTTCATTGAGCTTCGAATAAAGTCTTTGCCTATTTACTTAAGTATCTGTTCTTTCTGTCAAACCTGTCTTCCTTAGCAATGGAAAACGATTTTCATTAAATTCTAATATTTCTAATTACAATACACGTCATTGAAATTTCATTTATCAAGAGTCAATATCAATAGCGTATTATAAGAAATTCGCATAAACGTTACTTCGCAACATATTACCAGACGACATTAAACACACAATAGGTTCACAAATTTAAATTATAAGTAAAATATTTTCTGATTCATAACTGTTTCTACACAATTAGAGACAATACTGTTAAGAAATAAAAATAACATTTATTTTAACAATGATATATAACGCATTAGCTTACATTTGTATTGTGTAATGTTAAAAACTACTTAATATGCCTATAACAAGTAACACACTTCAGCTTCCATGTGAATGTCCCCATCTCGATCAGGCTTCTTTTTTAGAGATCCTGATTCATTGAGTATTTACTCAATGTTGAGATAGCCCATTGCTTTGTTCTTGGATGTATTACTTCCTACTGCGTTAAAATAACATATTTTTCTTCGAATACTCACCAAAAAGTGTTTTTTGGACTTGTGACGTTACTATTGTTTGAATTACATTTCTGTCTAATTGACACCTACCTGAGGGGACATCATTGTCCAATCAGAGGCTTTAAATTCTGATGTCACTGCAGAGGTGTGGATGGTTATTAAGAAAAAAAGGTACCAGATTCATCCAGTTTGACTACCGCGCTCCTGGCGGGCACTTCACCGGAAGTTTCTCTAGTTTGTTGCGATATGATCATTTTGCATGCATGTGGAGAGATATGATCATTTGCGTAGTTGCCTGAGAGAGTTCTGATGTGTTTGAATTATAATGGTGAAGTGGTTAAGTGAAAAAGAGAAATAAAGTATGGCACTGTATTCTAATATGTCGCTCCGAGCTCAATCCAGACCCCTCCAGATCCCTTAACCTAACATAATTTGTTACCACAGATGCCGATGTTAAATGTTTGAACTTTAGCGCTGTATTGCGAAGATCGGAGGAAGTAATTTCTTCATGATTACGCTAACAAAGAAATGACGTGTAAAACACTCATTCCAGTTTTCGGCACCGAAAACATACTGCTAGAA